TTTTTTTTTTTTTTTTTTTGAAGGACATAAGAATACACGAGCGTTCATAACGCATGGCGGGCTGATGGGGACTCAGGAAGCTATCTACCATGGGGTTCCCATGATAGGAATACCAGTGTTCTCAGACCAGATAAGAAACGTGAACATCATGGTTCAGAAGAATGTAGGAATTTTGTTACGTTCGGAAGATCTCGATGAACGTTCCATGGATATTGCATTGCACGCGATATTACATGATCCTAAATATAGGTAAATTATAATGATATTTCTACCATTAGCATTGCCATTTTTAATATTATTTTTGATTTGTCAAAGTTCATCTCATTCATCGTTTTCTCATGACTGGAAAGAATATTTAAAATAGTTATTTTGTTACCTTTCAATCATCAATCCTGAAAACACGTGAATTTCTCTGCGAATGTGTTTAGTTTATTTAATCGTATAATTTTGAGCGCTATTGGGCTCTATAATTGTTAATTGTTAACTTTACAGAGAACATTTATGGCACGTATAACTTGAGACCGAGACAAGAATGAATATGTAGACATTTAAAAGCTAATTATACTATCATGATTATTATACATCTTGAATAAAACTTTGTAAACTATATTGACCGTTTTTTAGTACGTCTGCAAGGTTTTTTTCTATGTTTGAGAAAACGACGTGACTTATGAGAAACACGTAATGATTCGACATCATTCTAAAATCTTGGTCAAAATTTGAAAAAAAACGATCTGATCGTAGATGAAAAAATGCGAAACTTTTTAATGGAACTTGGATTCGATGTTCATTTCGTAATTCTTCACCTCCATCCTTTAAAAAGCCATTTAAAAGAGAAAATGCTTGCTTAACTAGATAATGATGGAGTTTTCTGATTCAGAAGAATTTTTTTGTTTCACAGAAAATCTGCGAGAAAAATGTCAGAGATATTTAGAGATCGACCGATGAACGGTTTGGATACAGCGATTTATTGGACCGAGTACGTAATCAGAAATGGCCCCGATTCTTTGAAATCCCCCGCAGTGGACATGCCCTGGTGGAAATTAAATTTAATCGACGTCTTCGTTTTCTTAATCGCGTCTTTCGTTCTCGTCATCTACCTCTTATTCGTCACTGTCAAATTCATACTGAAAAATCTCTATACATTGAAAGACAGGCAAAACAAGCCAAAAGAGAAATCTAATTGAGATTTTGTTAAAAATCTGAATAAATCAACGTCTTTGAGAAATCGATCCTTTTAATCCTTTTCTTTTTTTTTCTCAATCGTACTCCTTAATTAAATCAATAGGAACTACACTGCCATTTTATATTCTATATTCTATATTATTCTATACTCTATATCTTAGAATTAAATTGAAGATATATATACGAATATAATAGCAAACAAATATAATATTTTATATAACAAGTATGTTCTATTATATAATATCGTACAAAATTTTATTTGATTTAAATTATTTTTTTTAAATTACTGTAATGTTTATTAAATTTAAGAAAAAAAAAAACGACTTATGAGTACCCCTAATACTTCTTCTTATATACATGTATGTATGGTGAAGTAGATAAAATGTCAAATGTGTTCTCCAAAATATTAGAATAATATAGAAGTAAGTGTAGAATAATATAGAGTGCAGGATATTGTGAAGGTGAGTTTCTTAAAAAAAAAAATCTGTCATTTTAAATTGCCATCCAGTGGCAGCTTGTGGTTTAAAATCGTGGAGGCGCTGCAACCTTCAAAATATACATACATGCACACTGTGAATGCAGTGGACTTTTACATTATCAAACTATACATACATACTTTATGCAAAATAATATTTATACATCGAGAAAAATTGGGAATGCTGTAATTCCGCGTTGCAATCCGTGCCTATGCCACGAGCCATCCTCATTTTTTTTTCTTTTTCAATGAAATTGACATTTCTTAATCAACATTGCGAGAAACGGAAACTAAGGGATTAAAAATTAAATTTAAAAATTAAATTACTCCTTTCCTTTTTTTTCTCCGCTTAAAATTTAGAAAGAAATGATTGAATTGATATTTCAAATCGGGAAGTCGAATCCGACTAAATGAATATCTCCTTCGAAAGACAATGGCGCATTTGAAATACGCTCCAATAGCATTGCACGCTATTGCAACTAATAACTATGTATATACGTCCTGGCATGCCAACTAGAGTAATTCTTGATTTAACCTAGTGATCTTTCTAGTGAGCTCTAATAAACGTTTAAATCGATGCATTAAACTCTATCACTCGCAATTTTTACACGCAATCGGCACTATAGTTCCGTCGGATGACACAACAAACCGACCAAATGACAGTGGTCTTCGGACATATTATCGTTCACTCTGTTATCTATGCAGTCGACCGGTTTCGGGTCGGTATTTAAAAAAGGAAACTGCGTATTTCATACTCCTCGGATGATTTCAAACAGTCACGAAACACAACGTGAAAAAAAAAAAA